GGAAGTATACTGTTTTTATGTTCCGGTTAATTTGAAACTCTTAGTTGAATATTGAATTAAGTCAGTTGGTGCCCTAGCTGAAGGGTCTTTTGTCCAGTGGAATCAAAAGTTTACTCTGATGTTTTGTGAATAAAAATTTTGTCTTTTCGCCCGTTGAAAAAACTGCTTGTTTTGACGTAGAAACTGTAATTCTAATTGGAAAAATTTCTTTTTAATTGTTTTTAACTGTAGCTGGTGTCTCAGGTTTTTCTGCATTTCACAACTTTTAACGAAGATGTTTTAAGCTTTTATGACATTTGTGTGGGCTGCCGCGAAGTGAGAATTGAATTGATAGAATGAGAAATACATATATCTCTAATGAAACTCTAAGAAATAAGTTTAAATGAAGTGCAGCAAAAATGTGTATAACTTAGTAAGCCATACGGGAAAGTCGTGGTGTCCATATCAGAATTTTTCACATTGTACATTTTATTACAATATACATATTTCCTATTAATTAATTTATAATATTAGCTGCCTCTTTGAATCATACATGACTGGAATAACATTCTAAAGCCATAAAATAATCATGCGTTAATGTAAGTCCGTATAAAACATCTGTAATATGTTCAACAGTCTTTAAATTTCGGTGTTCTAACGTGTGAAGTGTTATTAATGTGTGTTTGAGAGTAATAAATAAGATAAAGGATATCTGTAAGAATAATTAAAGAAACAAAAATACTAAACACATAGACTTTCTAAACTGAATTTAGTCTTTTAATAAATATATATATAATCAAACACAACATTTCAAGAGATAAAAGTTTTCACATTGCGACAGATATTTCACATTAAGCAATAATGTAGCAATATGAAACAGAAAATCACATTTAACTCTAGTTTCTTTTAAAAAGTGAAACGAAAACACAAATTCTTCAGCGATGGAAAGCTCATAGCAAAATAATAAATATTTGTATTATTTACGTATGCAGTAATAATGCATTTTAATTATCAGAATATTAAACAAAACAAAAAATTTAATAGCTTTTCTTTCTTTAGAAGGCATTTCTTACAAACACATTTTCCATCATATATGTACAATATCACACACTGCCTTACAGGGAATTATATGAATTAATAATAACTTAAATACACAAATTTTAAAAATATTATCCACTTAAAACTTCAGCAAAATTAACCAATTATGTTATGAATAGATTTACAAACGATAAACAAGAATCAAAATGCGTTGCTGTGCGTACAAAACATCAAACCTATGTTATTCGTGTTATTAGAGTCAAGAATATAAGAATTATTTCTTTTACATATTGCTGTTGTAATATAAATTAAAGAAATTATTGCATTCACGTGGGAAGTTATTGCGTATGTGTCGGGCTTTAAATAGATAAATACGTATACACTTTTTACTAATGGTTCAGATGATTAAGCTGCGGTACACAACATATAAAATTACGGTGCTCTTTCAATTTATTGTTCTAAAGCACAACATTTATTTCACTGACAGGATCGTATAGGTTAGAAAATCCCCAAAATGCTGAAAGTAATGCTTGACATTCAGCAGAAATGCTTATTTCTTCCTTAGCATAACATCAACTGCATTTATAAAAAATTGAATTTTACGGAAAAACATGTAAAATATGTGCACCGTATATAATGAACCACAGAGGAGTTGGGTATTTAAGCTCTGAATGATTTGTAAAGTTTAAATTGAATATTGTAATGATAATTTCTTTTATTACTTGTTTGAAACATTCATAGGCATACAACAATACCTCAAACAGGGCTGATAATTAAAAATCATACCATTCATTAATCTGATAAGTGTTAACTAATTTTGTAAGTGTTCAATATTATGTGCAACCTACGACATGAGATTATTATTAATTTTAACTTAAAGTGAAGAAAAATGTGTATGATAATTTGCAAGAAATACAGGAAAAGCATGACTTCTACTGAGTGGTAACAAAATTATTTCGAAGACTTTTACATAAAAACATTTACACTCATATGTATCCTTGAATTGTTCACAGTAAAATACTATGGCCAATTCAAGGATACAGAACAGGCAATAAATAAGAAGCCATTATTACAGCAGGACTGTTTTGAAAATAATACTGTGCAACAGCGGTTAATTTGAACATTACATATAAGCAATTATTAAAGGTATATCGTAAAATCATACACCAAGAATCTTGACACACCATAAACATAAGAAACCTTTCTCTATATATTTCTTTTACACTCTGGTTGTCATAACACATTTTAAAAAAGAACTATTGTAACTAATTATTGGTTTTCGAATAGTGTTGCCGATTTATACGAATGATTTTCATAGTAGGATAATATTTCAAAGAAATTTTTGTTCATATTAAATCACTGTTCCGTGTTAAATTTAAAATGAATAAAGGTACTTACGTATTATCGCAACCAGGTTGGCGCGATTTGTAAGTTTGAGTAAAAAAGTATGAATAAAAAGAAAATGTATATTTATTAATTACAGATAATTTTTAATACAGTTTTTTTATATTATTTTGTTTTAAAATATAAATAGCAATTAAACCCTTCCGGTTTCGAATTTGAATAAGTTGCAGAATTTTTTTTCGGCGGAAATCTCTTGGCTATTGCTTTTAGCACTGATTGAAAACCGTCTTCACCATTAACAGCTTGAGCTTGGCGCCATATAAATTCGATAAGGTATGAGTCAAGATGATGACGGGCTGTTCCTCTCTGTTTTTTGTTGCGCCATTTGGCTGAGCGCCACATGCGCTCTACATGTTGTGTGTGAACGCCCGTGTTGGGATCCACAAAGTTATATTTGTGATTAACAGTTCCATGCAGAAATCCAGCATTTTCGAACTCACTTGTATTGTATCCTTTCCAGCAATCCGAATAAATGATGCTTCTTTCCTTCATATTTTCGCAAATTTTTTCCATGAGGGTAACGGCGCTTCTGTTAGGTACAGTAACCAAAAAAGTCTCTTTCTTTTTTTCTCGGCAAATTCCGCCGAAAACCCATTGCTGTGGTAGTACACGCCCAGCGTTATTTTTCTTTTTACAAATAAACTTTCGTTTAAACACGTAGGGTTGCCACGTAAGTAGGCTCGCCAAATTTGGCGATTTATGCGAATTTTGGCCTGGTTGCGTTAATACGTAAGTACCATTTTAAATTTTAGTTCTAGTAAATTCTGCAGAAATGAGTACTGTTTTGCGTAATATGCATTCAGACCATTAAGCTACCGATAATGAACTTAGGACCGAATTAACAACTTTCAAGTCGAAATAATAATGCAGATAATTGGATCACAGAACATATATCTTAAAAATTATATCCAGTGAAACTTGTAAAGATATTTTGTATTACTTTGATATTTAGCTCTGCAGTGAAAATTTGAAACCAAGATATTTTGATCGCATTTTCTATTATTGAAAATTTTCTTTTAGCAAAAGTGATGACTCCTGATGTAATTTTAATAGCTTAAGAAAAAATTGCTGCTAAACGTAAGTAACAAATGTTGCTGAACAATAGCAATACATAGCGCCGATGCTTCATTTTGTTAACTTCAAGGCAAAATGTATGTCAAATGAAAGTAAATATTTTTATATCCTTGTTAGAATTAGAAACACCAGAAGTTAGAAGGAAATCTACATCCCTCGCTAATGAAGAGGAAAACATGCAGTGTTTTGTTCAGTTTATATTATACATTTGCTGCTTCAGGTTACAAGATTATTTGATTTCCAATAAGCTTCCACATTTCTCAGAAAAATGAAACTATTGGAATATGCGAACAAAATGAAAAGATAATTAAATATTAGGTTGTTATTTAATGCATCGTTTTGACTGGGTCCTTCGGTATTGACTTTACCATTTTAAATTACTCATGTTGCATAGGCATGTTGCTCCTGAATTTCTGACTTAGAAAGTCCTCCACGAAGGCATCCTTCCCCTTAAGCACATAGCCCTCGAGTGCTTTTCCATAATTAAATAAACCAAACCAGAAGTTCTAAAATTTTACACTTTGCGAAACAGCCTGCGGTGTTGACAGTATTCACCTGCTCACTAAAGAACAGCCCTATCTGTTCACTAGAAGACAGGCCGTCAGACAATTGTGCCATTGGTTTTTTTCATCAATGGCGGCCATCTGGCGGATATGCTAACACACCAGTGGACCAAGTGCTCCATTGACGATGGAATGGAAAAGTGCCTTGTTGCCAGATTTCCAATGATTAATATTTAGTTGGAGTCATGAGATTTTACCTTGTCAAAATATTGATATTTGAAAATACGCATAACTTTTCGACGCCTTTTTCTTTCAGTCGTTACAAATACGAGTACGCTCAGAGTTTATTTAACATAATCCGTATACAGTGGAACCTCAAGATACGAGCACCTCTATGTATGAGAAATTCGAGATACGAGGTAAGTATGAGCGAAAAATTAGTTTATAAATACGAGCATTGATTCGAGGAACCAGCAACGAGCTAGGCTATTGGTATGCGTGGCGCTATTTTCCGATACGGCTGGACTCGAGGAATCCTCTCGTCAGATCGCTCAGTGTTCTTTGATCTACGTGCTTGTGACTTAATTGCTTTTTACATTTAACGTGAACATAATTATTCCTCCCAAGAAGATTGTTACCTCAGATAGTGTTGCAAATAAAAAGAAGAAAGCCATGGGCCTTTGAAATTAAGAAAGAAATCATAGATAAATATATGCGTGGTGTAAGAGTGACGGAATTGGTGAAGACTTACGTTCGACATCGACGATCTGCACTATTCTGAAAGAGAAGGAAGAAATTAAGAAACCAGATGTGGCCAAAGGAGTTACCGTTACTTCCAAGCACCGTCCAAAACTTCTAGAAGATATTGAGAAGCTGTTGTTGGTGTGGATTAACGAGAAGCAGTTAAAAGGCGATTCGGTGTCGGAAGCTATCATAAAGTTAAACTATGATTATATTATTTACCAGCGTTATTTATGAGAAAAATTGATTTTTATGTTGATAGATTTGGGGGTGCGGAACGGATTAACTGGATTCCATTATTTTCAATAAGGAAGTTTATTTCTAGATACGAGAAATTCGTTATACGAGCTCAATGCTGGAACGAATTAAACTGGTATCTCGCGGTTCCACTGTATACGAAATTTGTACTACCTTCTGTGTATAGTTACTCACAGCTATCATTATTGTAAACACTTTTACATTACAGTTTCACTTGAAAGTTAAAAAAATAGTCATAATAAATTTAGTCTTTTATTATAGCTTTAATATTATTCAACGTAAGATATGGATTATCGGTAAAATCTTACTTATTAATTTCCTGTATGTTTTTCCTGTATAGCTGCTACTTAAAATTAGATTAAGTTACGTTGAAAAGATAACTTATTTTAAGCGATCAGTATCTGTGAGACAAGGTTAGAATTAAAAATTTTCTTGCCTTTGTTTTGTTCTGATTTAAAATCTTAACTATTAATTTTTCCTTTATAATATTAAGCCAGATTGAAATGATAACGCGATTGATGATAACAATCATTATCTGGAATTAAAGCCTCTTTTCCTTCTCAGCACGAAATTGTGAGCTTGAAACAAATTGCCATTACTTTACTATTATTGCCTTTTGAATATCTTAATTACGGACATCGCGCATGTTTTGCATTTCTCTTTATGTCTCTAATCTCTGTTGTTAAAATAAATAGAAGCTGAGCAAAGGCTTTTGATCACAGAAAAGTTTAAAACACCGCCTGAGAATTTATAACCTAAAGCGACCATTTTATATGAATACTCTGTTAAGTTTGCCTTGGCATTTTCTTCCCCAGAATGTCTTGTTTTGCGTAAGTCAATGTTAATGAAACAGAGATTAAATGCAATTCCTTTTTCAACCTTATGTCAAATTATTTTTCAGTTTGGAATTTGCGAGGACATATGATAGCTAGCTACGTGTATCCCTGTCAGCTTAAAATAATATTTAATGTCAAAGATATGCATAACGCTAATAATTTAATCGGTTTTACTTTCATATTAGTTTTCCTCTTTGGCTGAATGTTAACTCAAAGAAAATCCGTTTTGATCACAATACTATTTTGAACATGTTACCAAAAGGTATTTTATAATGTTACATATTTAGTTTATGCTAAGCGTCTTTTCAATTCTTAATTGAAGTAATAATTTAATAATATTCTTATTTACGACTATGCCCTTAATGTTAAAATTTTATGTGCAGTTTTAGCGTAACGGGAAGCAAAGTTCTCATGTTTGTCAAAGTATCAACTATTTTGTTACCATTTGCTTGCACTTGTAGAGACATAAGATTATTTCGTAGCAGGAGACATTAAAAATGAACAATGCCATCGCCGGAATTCGAACCCCGGACCTCTCGAATGCGCGCCGAGCGTGCTGACTATTACACCACGAAGGTGGGAGAAATATCTTACAAACTGAACAATTCCAATAATTTAAACGTCCTTCTCTCACTAGTTGCTGCTGATTTTAAGAAAACGAAACATTTGAGATCATTTTTAAATTGTGAGATCATTTTCCACAGTATTTTTGATGCTGTAGATATGTTATAGCTATTAAATGTATTCGAAAATTTTTCATTTCACCTCTGATTAAAACCTTCTTATAGAAAATCTGGAAGGTTTGAGGTTATTGCTGTAATTATAATACAAAACGTTTTATGATTATTATTATAATACCAAAGCATGATGTTATTATGACTGCAAAGTAATATTTCTCATATTTTTACATTAGACGTAAATTTATTTATTTTACAAATGACCAATTTATTACAAGTGATTATGATTTAAATAAAAATTTTCAAGTCATTTTTACGTATTATTTGTAAGTTAAAGATATATTTCACTGATCAGGAAATATAGTTTTGAACTTTAACTCATATTAAGCATATTTTTATAGATGTGATTTATATATTGTGCCCTATATATAATTTAAAGCATGTGAAATTGCATGAGACGGTTTAAATATATATAAATAACACGTTTTTAATATTTCTAATACGAACTCTCAGTTGTAGTTTTTCTCTTTGAGCAGCCAATAAATAAGAAGTCATTATTACAGTAGGCCTGTTAGCAGTTAATTTGAATATTCCACATAAAACAGTTATTAAAGGTACATATACCAAGCATCTTGATACACCATAACCATAAGAAATCTTTTAAACTCTGTTGTCATAATACATTTTAAAAAAGAACTATTGTAATGAATTATTGGTTTTTCGAATAGTGTTGCCAATTTATGCAGCTACCGATAATGAACGTTAGGACCCAATTAACCACTTTCAACTAGAAATAATAATGAAGATAATTGGATCAGAGAACATGTATCTTAAAAATTATATCCAGTGAAACTTATGAAAGTTCATGGATATAACTAAGTATGTACTTGATAACCAGCAATATCTCTGGTTATAGCTGCTTGCTTCAAGCCCATTTGTAACTGACGTCTTGATTCAGAAACGTTGAATTTTAATCACTTTATTGAATAATTTAACGGATCGTAATTAATATACCATCAAAGGAGATTGATTTTCAGACTTGAACCGGGCCATGTTTTGAAACAGCTTGAGAAGCCATGCCTTGAAAGAGAAGCTTGACAATTCTTGCTTAGTTTTATAAAAGTCTCAGAAGAAGACAAAATGGCTCTAAAATGTAAATTTCTGTTTAGTTTAGTATCATTAGAGCTAAAAAGCGTTTATTAAACGAATATATAACGTACTCACTTACCCATATTACTTTATTAGCGTTTATATAATGCTCCTAATCTCAAAAGGATGAAATTCCTTTTAACAAGCTACATAAATGCTTTTGCAGCATGAAAAAGAGCAAGAGGTTTTGATTTACGCAATGAAACACTTCACTGCCTTTCTATTAATGATATGTGTAATGCGCATAAGTCATAATAAAATAAGCTTTGAAAAAAATTATGAAGTTTTGTAAATTGAAATATCGCACGTCTTTTATTTAAACGAGATTTGGTTTGAAATGTTGGCCTAAAAATATTTAAGACATTAAACAATGTGTTGTTTTTCAAATTATTCCAATGGAAAATGAAAAAAGTATTTATATAAGTGCTGCTTTATCGTATTATTATTATTATTTGAAGATATTCTGAAGATTTCGTTCCCGATTTATAACTTAAACGTGAAAATAAGTGGAAATTTCCTAGTTTCGCTTGTTTCAGAAAGCTCATTTGATTACAAATTACCAATAAAAAATCTCATTAAAGTTTCCCATATTATATAAATGCTTTGAACATTTTATAAAGCGCTCCTAAATATAAAGAAATTCACAAATACTTCCAAATTTTTCATGTAAAAATTATAAACCTTTTTTGGTAACAATAAACCAATAATTTATACTATTGTCCATGATTAATATTCTCATAAAGTATGGAAAAAGAAGTCGTTTGTTAGGTTTTACAAATGTTAACTTTGATAAATACTACTTCATATTTTCAATACAATATGAAACATTTTCTTGATGACTAGAAATGCATTTATTGGCAGCTGGATTCAAGTGTTCATTTGGTCTAAGGTACGGTGTTAACAAAGTGAAAGTATGATGCAATAAAATAAAAGACATTCATTCGCTAAGAATTCCTATTTTAAGACTCTCCGTAGTCATCAGGTGGTATAATAGTATCAGGTTGCCTAATAAGTTTAGGTCTGTTACTTCGAGTTGTCTTATTCACAGAAGCTGCCGAGGAAGATTCTATAGTTTCAGAATTAGTTGATGAAGTTAGAGTGGTTTCACTTGACTTCTTGTTCTTTATATGGCTGTGAATGAACGACTTTCTCCTAGCACTGCCAAAGGAAGACAAAGTCTTCCTACCTTCACTTGAAGAAGTGGATTCTTCTGCTACAGAACTTATCCGCTTGTGGTATGTCACCGCTGGCTTAGATTCCCACAGCTCTTCCGAGGTGTTAAAAAGATATTTGCCAATACCACGCCTTGATGGGATAAAGAAATCTGGATCTAACTGGTGTTCATTGCTGTTATTGCTTTCTAGAGACATGCTACAATTATCAGTTGTGTCGCTACTTGTAGAATCTCTATTCAAACTTGGCTTTAACCGGAACAATAGCAAACGATTTGTAGAGTTCGGCTGGGCAAACTGAGACATATTTTTCAAAAACGAAGGCCGATTGTAAGAATTATTGTAAATGGCTTGAACATTTATGCTGTTACTTTGATAATTTTTCTTTCGGCAAGGCTGTATTGAGATGTTCTGCATTCCACTGTCGAAAAAATCCTCATCAGATATGTTCGAAACTGTTTCGTCTAATTCTTCTCTGCTTCGTTCTTCAGAAGTGCTGAAGACTTGCCAGTGGCCATCGATATCTTGATAAAGGGCTGGTAAAGCTTTAACCTTTTCAGAACTCTCGTTAACTAGACTAGCTGCTAATATGCAAGGATTAACTGATGTTTGGTTGCTTTTGTCTTTGCTCTCCCGATGAAAAATCCACCTTTTGTTCTTTGACAGATTAGAATAGGAAATAATTTGCTTAACATGCTTTCTTGAAGTCTTGTTTCGAAACACATACAGGTAGGGATTGATAACACTTGCACTGGATGCACAAAGTACTGCAAAGAATAAAACGTAGTTTGGCAAAACATTATCCACGTCGAAATAAGCTTCCATCGAGGTTACAGTGAAATATGGTAACCAACACAATGTGAATGTCATTACAACAAGAAGTCCAGTTCTTACAGCTTTCCATTCTTCTCCAAAAAACTGATTTGAACCGGAACTCCATCTTCTACATTTCCTTTTTTGCGTAATAGTTGCCATTTTTGCTTGTGAATCTGGGATATTAGTTTCCACAATGGTGCTGTTGACGCTGTGCTTCCGAGCTCTTTCAGAGTTATCTCTGGCAGCTTGGAACATAGAAGAATAGACACATATAGTGGTAAGGAATGGCACCATGAATCCCACTACAACAAGTACGCTTCCATAGGTCACGCTATATATTTCATTTGTTTTCCAGTGCAACGTACACATGTGCCAGTTCGGCCTATATTTTATATCTGTTATTCCAAAGAAAGGTGGAGATGCCACAATTACACCTAAAAGCCATGTACTGAAAATTAAAATACCCGTACGCTGTTTTGTAATGGTCATAGAATAATGTAGTGGACTGTTGACAGCACAGTTTCTGTCTACAGCAATCAGTAATAGCGAGAGAACAGAAGTAATGTTCAGTGTGGTAAACAGAAACCCACTGATGATGCAGACTGTATCACCGAATAACCATTTATCTGTGACTGTTGAAATCACTATAATTGGCAGTACTAAGACGCAGTACCAGAAATGCGAAATGGACAGATTCAAGACGAATCTATTGGAAAAGCTCCTTAACGTTGGCCTCTTATAGAACAATAAAAGCACCAGGACATTGCTTATGAAGCCCATAGCAGTTACTAAGATGAGGGACGAGAACTGAATGTAGCGAATGATATCATTCGTGGATGACACCTCTTGTGGGGTAGGAGATGAAGACGTCAGTGATGCAGGAGAGGACGAAATGACTAGAAGAGTTGTTGCATTCGAAATAAAAGTGACGTCCTCCGTCCATAGACTGCTTCCACTGAGATCGTCATCATCCATTTTAAGTTTCAGATGGGATACAGGTATCTGTAAAAAGAATATAGGGCCCTTTTATTAGCATTTTATAAAACAAAACACAAAAAAACATGCTTCGAACATACATTAGAGCATAATTAACAAAATGTATTGTTAATAAAAGTTAACAGGAATTAGTGTGATTTGCAATTATTAAAGTATTAATTGAGTATAACAAGAATAATAAATACGAGTGGAAACAGAAGAATTCATTATAACATGCTACGAATCAGTTGCTTTTCTCCATCATTAACTGGGTAGATTGCCCATCTTCTTCTAACTTACCTAGCCTCACCACGGTTTGGAGGAAACAGCGTTCGCCAAAGTCCTCATCTCCTTTCTTCTTGCTTAAAAGCAAGATTACTAAAGAATTACTAAACTGGGTAGACTGTTTACATTAAATTTTTGCGATAAATAGATGGCTTTCACATTTCCATACACAGAAATCTTTGGTCGTTAAGATGATAAATTTAATAACATCTTTCTTCGAGGACTACTGTATTAGAACACCATTTTTGATAAACCTCTGGTAATCCATATAATTTAAACAATATTTTATAAATTATGATATCGCAAAAAAATCATAAAAGAATTTCTCTTTAAATAAGATTAGTTTGGTTTACTTGCTTATGGCAAAGCATTTGAGGGCTGTCTTCCTAAGACGAGGGATACCTTCATGGAGGACATTCTAAGGGAAACTGGCTTCTATATATGTTTCACATAGGGAAAACCACAAAAACGCCCATACAGCCAGCCCGTTCGCCGGGATTCCAACCCCGGACCTAACTATCAATAATCAGCAACTTTACCGCCCGGCCACTGATGAGCCCTGTTCTAAAGAAGAAGAAAATTTGTATTTCGCACAGGTATTTGTTTCTTTAAAAGTATTAGCTTAGGTCAAACATTTTAGTCATTACATTTAGTATAATTGTTCTAAATTTAATAAAAGTCACTTATATCAGTTTTATAATAGACACCAACTACACTCTTTACTACGCATTCTAGTACGAATTTATTATTTTGTCACTTTAAATTCATACCTGATACTTTCAATGGAAATAAAAAATCTTAAAAAGAATTTCCTAAGTTCCCTTTGGAATTTAGATGTATGAAAATATCTATCGCTTCGTTCCCTGAAAATATAATTTGATATAGCCAGTATTTAGTATTGAAGTTGTAGTTTTCCTCCCTTTTATTCTACTAAACTAAATGTTGAGGAACCTAATGAACTACTGAGCGAATAATCGCTTAAGTCCAAGAATAGAAACGTAAACTCAAGAAGAGTTAATTACCCTTTATTGCTCAAAATAAAGATTCACAGATGGTTCCTTTCTCAAGGCGTACAAAAGAGCCTTTATTTGGGCGTAACTTAAAATGTAAGAAATAAAAACTATCTAATGACTAACTGAAGATATTTAGCCAAAGCTAACACAAATTCTAACCCAGTTGGCCCGTAATATAATAATAACTTAGCCAGCGAAGGCACGTGATACGTCCGAGCGTAGTAAACAGTTAGAGAGACGTAGCCAAAAGGCAAACGCGCGCTATTCGAGAATCTCTCGAAGTCAGTGGAGCTTTCACTTCAATGCTATTTACTTCTCATTTGCATTTAACGTGATTCTAAGAATTCATTCTGGTAAGGAATTGTAAGCTGAAGCTAGAAGAGATAGGAAAGTGGCATAAACTTAAAATAACTGTTTTAAAATTAGGATATACCTTACAAAGTAGTTAGATTTGTATACTTTCGTATAGTTTACTGACAGTAGGCATTATAATACTACCTGCGTATATGTAGATAGGATAATTTAAGACTTTTTGACAGCGAAATTCAAGTTACTCACATATGACGAAACGTTTTCGCGAATCGTTTGAATGGAAGAATGCATCATCTTGAAATGGAAATTTTAATCTTTATTTTGGCTGTAAATTTTTTGAAAACCATGAAGTATTTCCATTTTTATAAATAATTATTTGAACAGAAATTCTGAAGTTGTCAGACGAAACAGATGTTAAGAAAGGAAAACTTATCTTTAGACTGCTATCTTTCTGCTCCCGTCTTCATTTAATGTTCAAAATAATATTTAAAATCAGCCTTCTTTAAAACATAAAAATCTCTTACTCAACTGCATACTAATAACATTAACATATTGACGGAATTACAATTTTTCATGCGTGCCACATCTCTTAAACGTTATTAATCTTCCTGCATCTTTGAAGAAATATGCTAGTGAAAAGATTACTTTCAGCTGAATGTAGTACATTAGTTGTTCAAAGTAGCTAACATTCGAATCGCATTATTTCAGTCTATTCTGTCTAGTAAAGGAAGAAAAGTATGCAGAAGTGAAAACCATGTGCGAAACCAAAGGGACTAATGAAATGTTCATGACCTTCTTCACTCAGACGATATCGATTCGATATCGATTCTTCTTCTTACTTTTCTTTTCTTAACTTACTCCCTCCCGTGTTTTGATTTTTTGGAAAGTTTGCAGTTTTCTTTGTACAAAATAAATATACGTTATAAACGATATTTAAATGTTGGGGTAAAAAATGAAGATATCGAAATGCAAGCATAAAAATAAGCGTGAGCACTAAGACAAGCATAAAGATATAGAAATGCAGAAAATTTCAATCAGGAAATATTTTGGTCTCTAAAGTAATTCTTAATTAATGTACCAGTAATAATGTTCGTTTCGTGTAGGTGGATTACAAGCCCTTAACAGCTAGTAGCAGAAGACTCGTAACTCGAATTCTACGAGGGCAACATTGAATTTTCACCTTTCAGGCTCCATAAATCTTACTATTCTATATATATATATATATATATATATATATATTCTGATATAATTTATAATTATATGTTTTGTAATAAAATTTGTAAAATAGCAAAACTATTGTAAAGGTGTGACTAATATATAAAGTTGTTAATATATGCGCTCTGATGACGCTATAACTAATTTTTTTCACTGAAAGAAATTTTCAGCCCTTCATAGCTTTAAAATAGGTTTCTTTAATTATAGACACCCTATATATATATATATATATATATAATTACAAACAATTCTTTTGAAAAAAGCATAAACATGCCTAGTCTTTATTTAAGGTTCAAGATTCTAACTAGAATTTACTTTGTTTTTTAATTGCTTTGGGGAAGGGACAAAATTTTCGGGTGAACTATTATAATTAAAATACATTGAAATGGTTCATCTGCTAATTCCGAATGCAGAAAAGCAAGGATTTTGTAGAAGAGTGATTTGAATTGATTTCATTGTACCTACCCCCTGACGAAGTAGCATTAAAGTTGATTGATTTAATCATTAAATAATTAAGCTGGTTTTGTTATTTTTCTTTAATTTTCATTGAATGTTTTTAAAATGGAATTTTATACATTATTTGAAAGGATTTGGTTTTAAAATTTTTTTAAATTTTTTTTTGCATTTATAACATTATTGAAATTTATTAATTATGAATTTCAATTTTTGGTCTTTGTGAAAAATTAGTTCTAAATTTGTTACTTTATGTCTTTAATTATATATATATATACACACACACACACACACATCCTACACGGCTTAAAAGTCCATATCTGGCCTTAATTTTGCGATCTTTGGGTCGTAATCATACATTCTCAATTACAAAAGTGTTAGAAGTGTTTTAAATGACGAAAATATTCATGTTTCGCAATGCCAAATTTTAAAAGAATTAATTTTTAACAAATAACAAAATCTAACTTAATGAGGCTTCTCGGTTCTTATATTTATGCTTGGGAAAGGTTTTTACTCGTTATTGAAAAATAAAATTACAAAAGTTTTATTCAGCGACAAAAAAATCATCGGGATATTTAATTTTAAAATTTGGAATTTCTGATGTCATTTGAACTTGCCTTGAGAAATCGGTTAATTAAGTTAGAAAAATTCGAGTAAATTAGTTTAAAAGAAGTGCAGCAACAAATGTATATAATTTAATAGACCGTTTAAGGAAGACGTATGATGTCCACCTCAGATATTTTTCAAAAACGGATACTTTTCATTTTCTTCAAACATTAAAGCTATTCATTATTAGCACAGGTTTACTTTAAAAGCATTAAAACGTCGAAAGTGTTCGTTCCAGAAACGATTCCTGTAGTAATTAGCTACATCAATATTTTCCCCACACAAACCCTATACTTGATGAATTCTTCCATTGTGTCATTCCATCTATGGTTATTACAGCAGCTATTGTTTAAATTAATGTGCTAGGTGTAATTGTTAAAATTAATTATCTGCTTTAAAAGGAGATTGAATTAGGTTGTCCTTATGTTCCGGTTAAGGATTTTATGCCTTTATTTAATCTGCATGGAACAGTTGTAGAATTATCAACAATTTGTGATACTAAGCCTAAAGAAACCGCCATTTAGTTACATTTGAAACTCTTAGTAGAATAGTGAATTAGATCAGTTTCTGCACCTTCAATATCTTTCTGCCGAGTGGAAGTAAACTTTCAGTTTTGTGCATCGAAAAATCTGTCTTCTTGCCCGCTGACAGAATTTCTTGTTTTTGCGTAGAAAGTCTAATTTTAATTGTAAAAATTGCTTTCTTCTTAACTGCGTTTGGTGGTGTATGTTTTTCTGTATTTTACAATTTTTTATGAAGATTTTTTGAGTTTTATGTATTTTTGCCTTGCGGAGAAGTGAGAACTGAATTAATTGAATGAGAAATATATCTCTAATGAAATCCGAGGGAGTAACTTTAAATGAAATGCAGCAAAAAATGTGCATGATTTTATAGAGTCATTAGTTTATTTTGATGCTAGAGACATGAAAATGAGCAATGCTCTCTCTGGAACTCGAACCTGGACCTCTCGAATACGCGCCGAGTGTGCTACCGTTACACCACACCACGAAGTCATGCAGGAAGGGGTGAGAAAATACCATATAATTTAATAGGCCGTACAAGAAAGTCATGTTGTGTTCACATCAGGTTTTTTTTTTCATTTTATGACCAAAAGCAAATGTTTTCAAA